AGGGAGGTATTAAAATGTTTGAATCCAGAATAGATGTCACTTAAAGATTGATCATTTTTAAGTATTAAGTAATCTGTGTGACCTTAGTGGATGAAGGTGAAATTAATAAAGAATCCTGAGTAGGTGGCATACACAACTATACCCAGCATTGGAAAGTCCTGTCAGGAGGATGGTGTCTGAGGCTGGCTTGGGCTAAATAGTGAGATCTTCTCTCAACCCTTACCAGAACTTAACTCTCTGGTTACTTATGGCTTCCCTCAGGGATGAGTGTCTGAGAACTACAGTCTATACTATCTGCTGTGCAGAAAGCAGCTAAGTAGGGAGGAAAGTGATACTGTTTACAAGTGCCAAATTCTATTTCTGCCAATCATGTTTTCCTATTACTCACCACTTCCTGACCTGGCAAAAATTCAGTCAGTGACTATCAATTTGTACCCCAACAGCCCTGCCAATACACACAAATAAGTCATTATCACATAGCATCCAAAAAATTTAATAATAGCCAACCCAAAATAATTTTTGAAAATTGATGTACTCAAAGATATCACTTTTCAAACTGAATCCTGCAACCAAATATGGGTCAGAACCAATGTTCAAAACCAGTTAAGGTTGGGTGTGGTGGTACATTCTAATCCCAGCACTCAGGAGGCAGAGACAATCCAATCTTGTGAGTTCAAGGCCACCCTGGTCTACAGAACAAGTTCTAGGTTAGTCAGAATTGCATAGTGATACCTTGTCTTAAAACAAATACAACTACAATCAACATTTTAAAATCAATCAGAAAAAAATATTTTAAAATAGATTAAAAGCAGACAAAATACTGTTTGATTAAAAACATTTAAATAATTTAAACACTTGTATATTTATACTCAGAGGTGAGTAAGTACACATGAGATATAACAGTCTAGCCAGGTGTAGTGGCACACTAGTCAGTTCGAGGCCAGCTTGGTCTACATAGCAAGTTCCAGGACAGCTAGGGCTACACAGAGAAACACTGTCTGGGGAAAAAAAAAAAGCAAAACAAAATGGGTTAATAATTAAGACAGAGATAGTCAATAAGAAGCCCAAGCCAATGGCCAACAGTTTCATAATTAATATAAGTTTTGTGTGTTTATTTGGGGGCTCTGAGGCGGTCGTAGAACTGGGCAGAAACTCTGCAATAGCATGCTTATTCGTAAAGTAGATTCTTTTATTATAACACAAAATTCTCTATTGCTAAGAGTAGGTATTTATTTGCTTTGTAAACCAAGAGGCACTATCTATCCTCTGTACACAATTATCACTTTAGATCTAAGATCAGAGATCCTTTCTAAAAACATCACAGTGCAAGAAAAATGCTAATAAACCCAACCTCGTATATTTTTCTGTTTATAGTCTTAGATTTTCTCTAACAGCATTTTCTTAATGTAGACTCACTCTTCCCAATGTCCTTACTTTTGTATCACAGTAACCAAATCCCTGACAGAAGCAGGAAGGAAGATTTACTTTGGCGCAAGGATTCAGATTTGAGTTCAGCAGTAGGGAGGAACAGCAGAGCAGTAAGGATAGAGGCTGTTCACATCACCGGGAAACAGGAAGTACAGAAAGTAGCCTACAACCAGGGGCCAAGTGAACCATTAAAAGTCCATCCCCAGTGGCTTGTCTCTGCTATCTACGACCCATCTCCTGTAGGATCCATAGTTTCTCAAAACAGCACCAGCAGCTCAGGGATACAGAGTTAAACACGAGCTTGTAAGGGGCAGTTCAGACAAACCACAGTATTCTCCCACAGTGGCTGCCCTTTTCTCTGTCTACACTGCTGGCGCTTTCTTGACCTTTTAGCTCCTAAATGGAAATCACACTTGTCTTTGGGACACTGCACGTACTTCTACACAATTTCCTGAAGATCTACCCATTTTCATGGTCACAAACAATATTTCAATTTTTTCTCTGCCTTTGAATGTTCTTGTAATCTCTTAATAAAGACATGTATAGACACTGTGTCTTTATAAACTCCTCTATCTATCTGAAAAGAAGCTCCAACATAATGAAGAAAGAGGAGGATATAGTTATAGAACTTGCTTATTTTCTTTTGGTTTGAAGGAATGACTTGCTAAGAACACTGAACTGGTTTAAAGGAAAGTTACATCCATTTATTTAGTTGCTCTCAGAGGAAATCATTTCTGAAACAAGCCTTAGAGAACTGAAGAAGTGTCATAGAGAAAAATAAGGAATATCTATAGACATCTGGGGGAGGGGTAGCATAGATGTGTATATTACAAGTCAACAGGAATAGGTGGCTATTGTGGCTTTTTTTTTACTATTTATTGTGTGGATGGGTGTGTGGGGGGTAATGTGTCCCTGAGTGTACATCCCATGCGAGTGCCTGTAAAGCAGAGACTGACATTACAATGCATTGCTCAATTACTTCTTGCCTTATTTTTACTCATTCTCTCCCTCCTACCCTCCTCTGTATATGTGAGCATACAATTTTGAGTGTGAATGAGGTTGCACAAATGCCACAGTGTGAATGGGGTGGACAGAGGACAACCTCAGGGGTCAGTCCTTATCTTCTGCCTTGTTTGAGGCAGGGTCTTATATTTCCCCTACCCTTCCAATCTCCCTGTAGGACACTGGGTAAAGAGACACATGCACTCCTGCATGCAAGCCTTACAAATCTAGGGATTTGAACACAGGTTCCCACACTTAGGTGGCAAGTCCTTCACCTCATTTTTTTTAAATCAACTTTATTATTAAAAAAACAACACTTTTTTTGATACAGGGTCTGCCTCAGAATCCAAGTTTGCATTTCAGCTAGACTAGCTGGCTAGCAAGTCCCAAGATATCTTGTTTTCCCAGTGCTGGGGTTACTGACGGCATCCTCAGGCTCAGCTTCTATAAGGGTGTTGGGATCTCAACTCTGGTCCTCATGCTTCCACAGTGAGCACTTTACCATCTAAATTGTCTCCCTTATTTTTTATTTGTAAAGGATGTGGTTATATAATGAACTCAGGGTTTTAAGAAAGGGGTAGGGCTATAAAGAATTCAAGAGTGATGGCAGGGATAGCTCAGTAGTCAGGAGCTTGCCTAGAATACTCAAGGTGTTGAATTTGATCTTACTAAAGAGAAAAGTAATAAAACTAAATACCCTTCTAAGTTTTGAAGACCTACTTAAGGGTATAACAGTGAATTACTATCTGTTTTAAGTTGTCCTATTGTTATGTGAAGCCTTAGTGCCAGAATGTTGGCACTAAGGTACAAGATGCATTGAGTTTTGCTAGGTGAGCACAATATAAAGCAATAAGGATAAAGAAATTGAAAGCACAGGGAGAAAATGATTAAAATGACTGATAAAAAGACATCAATACTGAGTGTAACGTGATTGACAGGAATAAAATGAAGATGTGAAGGAATTTGAGCTCTGTAAGATTAAAAAAACAACAAAAAACAAAGAATAGGAGGCTACAGTAATGACTCAATGGTTAAGAGGTCCACTTTCTCTTTCAGAGGACCACGATTCAATCCCCAGCACCTACATGGTAGTTCATGACCATCTGTTACTCAAGCCCCAGGGGATCCGATGCCCTCTTCTGGTCCCTGAATATACTGCATGCACATGGTGTACAGACATGCATGCAGGCAAAACACCCATACACACAAGATATGTGTGTTTGTATGTATATTAGAGAAGGGGTGTAAAAAGTTTAAAGCCTGAGGAATATGGTCATAGAACCTCACATTTGGACTAATCTGGAGGAAAACAATTTTGGGCAAGTAGGGCCATCAGAGAATGTGACCAAAGTAGACTGGAACTCAAAATGGACTGTCCACAAGGGCAAGTAAGTCACCATGATTAAGCAGAAAGTTGAGATAAAACTTTAAATTGGGATCTCAGTGAGAAACCAAGATATCAGCAATAGCAAATAGACAGGAGTGGTGAATTCCATGAGATACCAGATGTTCGTAGATCCACTTTGAAAAACAGCAGCACCTAAAAGAATGTTGGACCTAGCCTCTTAGGGCTTGGCAGCTGCTTCATACTGCATCTTACCTCTCCCAATCTCCCTCTGTGCTATACATAAGAATAACCAGACCCATCTGAGGGTTGCTAAGAAAATATCTGAGTAAGATGCTTCCAAAAATTGTATACAAGCTAGAAGGGGGAAAAAAATCATCCTTTGAAAAAGAAACTAATAAAGTCATGCAACTCATCCTCAAACTAACCCATACTAGTGGTTTTGTTTGCTTGCTTGCTTTTAATGATTATGTCAGTTTTAAGACGATGGTATTTCCAAAGCCTCTGCCAAGAGAAGAGGGAAATTCATTATTGATCATTACATCCAGGAGGTGATTCCAAGCATAAAGGGGTAAATTCAGCAGGTTCATTCAAAGTCTGGATGAAATATCTCTGAATCTAAATCTCCTTTTTGATTCTGTACTCACCAAACCATCTAATTATCAACTAGGTCCCACAGGATTTGTGATGACTACGGCAATCCTCTGGGGAATCTATTACAAGGACATTACTTCACTAATCTCTATTAAAACACACACTTTAAACAAGCTAGACATATAAAAATAGAAGTTAATATTTTTTCAAGCTTCAATAGTATCTTGCAGATGACACTAGTGAAATCAGTGCTTTAGAAAGATGAAGATGAATGTTCTAGTCAACGAAAGGGCATAAAATTAACCTAAGTGATAATCTTGAAGTGAGGATTAAAACCTACAAAAATATGAAATCAAATTTATAACTGAAGGTCTTATAACTAACTGTAAGGGAAATGAGCATATAAAGTGTAAACACAGTAGGAGCTAGGATTGACATGTGAAGCAAGCTTGTCTCTAATTTAAATAAAAAGAGATGAAAAACAAAACAAACAAAAATAAAGTGTAAACACTACAGTGCCAGACATGCTCTTAATAGAAACAATCACATCACTGCAGCATAAACAAGGAAAGCTAGCCTCAAACAACACTGATCAAGTCTGAAGGACATCACAGAATGAAAGACTACTCACCTGAATAAAATGTGTTGATTTTGGCAAGTTCCTTTTCACAGGTTTGGAAAAACTTTTCTTCAAACTTGGCAAAATATCTCTTAACTGTATCCTCATCTGTAACTGGAAAGCAAGAAAAAAAATTCAAATTTAAGGCAGGAGGCCAAGTGGAGAATGTAGGATAAAAATAGGATTACTTTCTTAGTCTTCAAAAAGCAAGTAGACATCTGTATGTAAGTGCTGGGCAGTGAGACAAAGCTAATCCAAACACACTACTGCTATAATAGAAATTATCCCATTGAGAAAGGAAACTCAGAACAGGGAGAAACTTCTGTAGACAGTTAAACAAAGAGGTCTCAAGGTGTTGGCAGTTGAGCTGAGTAGAATTCACTTAGCAAAAAAGGAAATTAAACATTTCAAAGAAAAAAAACTACAACAGCAAAGGAACAGAAGATGTGAAACTGCAACATGCTTCTGAAACACAGGATAGATTTTGTTTTATATTATGTTAGTATTTACCATTTTTATTTTAGCTGCACAGACAGAGAAGGTGGTGTGGACCGATGGATGGATGTAAGTTAGATTGTACCTAGTGTCAGAAGCTTGCTGAGTAACATACTGACCCAAACGAGACACCTGTACAAGTAGATAAGTGGCAACTGGCACCTGTAGGACAGACTGAGACGACTTCTGGAAATACCCATTTGGTCACTTTCATGTGTTACTATGACATGTCAGATCGTTCTGTTTTCTAGCAGATATCATAAACCCAGGTATTTTTAAAACACTGTGTGGACCAATAGTATGCCTTTCTGTAGGCTAGATCTACTTTGTGAGTTTTATGGTAGACCTACCAAATACTAAATATACTAGAAATGCAGAATAAAAGTAGCTTCGGGGGCTCCAAGAATGTTTTTGTTTCCATGTGAGATTTGACCAGACTTCCTGAATCTTAACTAAAGTATAGAAAGAGTCTATTTCTGGATCTGGGGTAGCTTGAGATGTGTAGAAAAAGAATAGGTTCCTTCCCATCCCCCAGATCCTAGACTCTTGGTGCAATCCCAGAAACCCTTAAATATTAAGAATAAATGAGATGGCATTTCCCTAAGAAATGTGATAAATACACAAATTCATAGCACTAGAAATACTTACATGAGAGAGAAAGGCTTAAAATAGTCAAATCTGACCAGTGAGATAGCTGGCTCAGTGGGGGTAGTGCTAGCTGTCAAGCCTGATAATTACTGATGTACGAAAGAGAGAATAGACTCTTTTAAGTTTTCTACATGGTAGCAAGTGTGTACCTCACAAACAAATTAATACTATTTTTTATTTGTAAAAATTTACTTCTATTTATCCACTACTCTATTCTATAGGCTTTAAGTCTAAGCATTCAATGCAGAATGTTATACTGATTCTTTAGAAATACGGGGATGACTACTTTATGTTCCTCATGTAAAAGTAGCAATTAAGGAATAACAAAGACTACAGCTACTCAAGGCCACTGAGAATTACTTTTCAAAGTATAAAACAGGCCCCAGCATTTTAAGGTAGCTGTACCTGAGTAAAGGAAACGCCATGGTAACAGAAGGTGTGCTTAGAATAGCACCTAGCTCCATCTAATTGAAAATAAGAGCAGTAAATTATTTTCTACATTCTTTCCTTTAATTTTATCCTCTATTGTTAAGAAAGATGCCCCAAAAGCAAAAAGAGGCTTGGTTATATTTACTTTGCTTCCCTACTAACATTAAGAGATAAAGTAGCAAAGTCCAGCAATTTAGTTTAAATATGGCTTCTATTCTTAAAAATAATTTTAACACACATCAAAGTTTATATAGGAGTTACATATTCAAAAACATCAACTGTGAAAATATTGCCAAGCATCCATCTATGAATTAACTGTGAATATTCTACTTTCTTATTTCAAAGACTAGTTTATCTAAAATACTAGCAGTTTGTTTATCTATATTCATATGCAACACAACTGCCACAAATCTTAATGGAATACAGTAAGGTTACAGCAACACAGAGCAGTAATATCTGAGGGTAAAGAGGAGAAACCATAAATAAAAACAGCAGGGGCAGCTGTGCAGAAATTAGTGAACGACAGTGATTTTGTCCTCTCAGATTTCAAAGACCTGATACATACAGGAACTATTAGATGCACGCTACTGGTAGAGGATTAGAAAACAACAAACAGAACAGAGACTCAAAATAGACTTGCACATAAAAGAATGGATTATACAGAGAAGTCTTCCTAAAACACAACATAAAATACAGGAGCCATGAATAAGTAATTAACATGTTTACAAAATGAAGTATCTCATTTTAAAAGATGCTGTAAGTGCAGTCAAAAGAGAAGCAAACATTAGAGAAATTTATATGTGCAGCATTTAATAAAAGATTCATATTCACAATTTATTTTGGGACTGGCAAAATGGCTCAGCAAGTAAGAGCACTTGAGTTCAGACCCCGAGAACCCATGCAAAACTTATCTTAGAAAATGTTTATAAGTCAATACTAAAATGATTTTTAATTTCTTAATAAAATGAGCTAATTAAAGCAATTCATAGAAAAATAACAAGGGGTCAAAATATTGAAAGGAGGTTCAACATCAAGATTTCAAAACATTCAAGATCAAAAATATAAAATGAAATTTTGACATTAGTATGGAAGCAATTTTAAAACAGTAATATTTTGGCAATGATAAGGGTAAATCAACACCCTTACTCCCTGTCGATAGCTATGTGAATTTGCAGTCTTTCTAGGAAAACAGTTTGGCAACAGTTATCAAAATGTTCAGTATGCTCAATCCCACATGTAGGAAACACTCTAAAGGAATCTGTACAAAATAACATATTTGTACTGATTTCATACCTTGTTATTTTGGGGGGGTTTACGAGACAGGGTTTCTCTGTATTGCTTTCGAGGCTGTCGGTCCAGCCCAGCCTCGAACTCACAGAGATCCGCCTGCCTCTGCCTCCCGAGTGCTGGGATTAAAGGCGTGTGCCACCACCGCCCGGCTATATACCTCGTTATTTTTAATAATGGAAAAGAAAACAAATGAGTCCAGTAGTTACACTATAGCAGTCATTTTTATTTAAAGTACACATGCTTTGTTTTTTTTTGGCATCTCCTAGGGGGTTAGCTGTGTCAAAATAAAACTCAGTATCTCCTTCCCAGCCACTGGTCATCAGAAACTCACTGAAGTTGACCATGAACACAAGCTTTGTACTGTCTATGAAAAGCAAATAGCCACAGAAGTAGCTGCTGATGCTCTGGGTGAGGAGTGGAAGGGTTGTACACTAATTGGGACCAACAAACAGTTTTCCCATGAAGCAGGGTATCTTGACCCACAGCAGAGTGCACCTGTTGTTGACTCAGGGGTACTTTTACAATAGATAGACCAAGGAGATTTGGAAGGTGGAAGCACAACTCTGTTTGTGGATGACAATCTGAGTGGGTTTTATTGTTGTATTTTAAGACAGGGTTTATCTGTGTAGCCCTGGCTGTCCTGGTTTTTAAAAAGGAGAGAAGCATTTCCTGGACTGACAGATACTACTGTGCTTTAGGGGCTGGAGCTCAAAAGAGCCTGCAGAAACTGAAATTTTTTCAGTCTCTCTAAAGATGATGATCTCCAAAATACTATCTGAAAGCTCTTAAACAAAAAAGGTAAGAAGTCCAAGACCAAGCCACTCCTTGTGTCCTGCACCTCAAATCCAATGCACTGCTCTGAAGAAACAATGCACTAAGGAAAACAAAAAGGAGGCTACACATAGAGCTAAACTTTTGGTTAAGACAATGAAGAATAAAAAAGAAAAGTGCCAGGAAAAGAATGCCAAGAGACTTAGGCTGTGTCTTCCCAGAGAACTTCAGATTCTGAGTGCAGTAAAAAAATAAATCTTTAAACCAGGTATAAAATGAAAAGGTAAACTTAAGGAGCCCATCGAGGCGTGGTGGTGCACGCCTTTAATCCCAGCACTGGAGAGGCAGAGGCAGGTGGATCTCTGTGAGTTCAAGGACAGTCTAATCCACATAATGGGTTCCAGGTCTACAGGAGAAACCCTGCCTTGAAAAACAAAAACAAAAGTCTACAAATAAATGATCAGACCTTGGAAACACACACACACACACCAGGTCTTGGAAACACACACACACACACACACACACACACACACACACACACACACACCAGGTCTACAGGTCTACAGGAGAAACCCTGCCTTGAAAAACAAAAACAAAAGTCTACAAATAAATGATCAGACCTTGGAAACACACACACACACACCAGGTCTACAGGAGAAATCCTGCCTTGAAAAACAAAAACAAAAGTCTACAAATAAATGATCAGACCTTGGAACACACACACACACACACACACACACACACACACACACACACACACACACACACACACAGACCAGGTCTACAGGAGAAACCCTGCCTTGAAAAACAAAAACAAAAGTCTACAAATAAATGATCAGACCTTGGAAACACACACACACACACTGTATGAAATAACCTCCAAAATAGACAAATGGGTTATTTCATTGATGAATTCATACTGAGTGACAGGTAGAAGAAGCCTGGCTGGAGGAATCTGGAGGGGCGTCTGAAGAGTAGATCTTGCCCTGCTCTGTCTCCCATCCCCACTTTGGGTTTGCCATGAGGTGGAGTCGCTTTGCCTCTGCCATGACGGCCAACCTTATAGCTGGCCCAGCAAGGATTGAGCCAACCTTGGACTGAAACCGGTAAAGCTGTGAGCTAAAACAAAGAATTATTTTCTTCTTTTAAATTGTTTCTTCCCGGTATTTACCTTAGCAACAAAAACTTAATTAAGACAAAGTTGAGACCTTAAACCAACTGGAATAATTTTTGTGTGTCCCCACTATGAACCCCACAAGGGTCTTAAACTCATGGTCGTCTGTCTTGTCCTTGTAAGGCACAGTCATATCCAGTCAAGACTGGTATTATTTTTCTTCTTTTTTAAAAGATTTAAAAAATTTTAAATTATGTGTATATGGAGGTGGGGTGGGATGAGAATGCAGGTGCTTGCAAAAGCCAGAAGATGGTGTCAAATCCCCTGAAGCTGGAGTTACAGTGGTTATGGGCTGCCTTTAAAATGA